ATATATATATATATATATATGTATATACAGTACCAGCTGAAACTTTCGACATACCCATCTATTCTTTATTTTTACTATTTTCCACATTTTATCATCGACACTGATAAATTTTGCATAAATACATTTTAAAAAATTAATGAAAAATTAAAAACTGTTATTTATTAAATAAAATAAATTAAATTTAGTCTAAAAAATAATTTGTCAACTTGAGCATATAACCGTAAAGCTTATTTTTTTATCATTTAAATCAGTCTTCAAGCTCTTAAAAATGCTCTGCATTTTTCTTGTGTTCATTGTTCTTTTAGTATCTATATTATAGTATTTATTAATATTTTGAATTAGCTTTTATTTTTATATTTTCAGTTTTAATTAATAATGTTTTAGTAATTTTGTTTTGTGTTTAAAATCATGTTTATTAGCTTTGTTTTTTATATTTCGATTTCATTTATTTCAGTTTTAGCCATTTTAGTACTTATAAGACCTTATTTTATTTCAGTTAGTTGCTAAGGCCAAGTTTTTCCATGTAATATTTAGATTAAAGCTTTAGAACAAAAAGTCTTTAATCTCATAATAAACACATTTTAGTCTGCAATACACTACATGACTTTTGGCCAAATTTTTTCCTGATTTGCAGTCTAGACTAGTCGACGCTAGTTGCTGAAAGTCAGAGCCAGTCTGCAGATTTCTGTCATTTAGCACACAATGCCCAGTTTTTCTCTGTAACCATTTACAAAGTTGCAAGTGTATGATGTCTAGTGTTTTAAAATCTGTTCAGATTTTAAAAGTCATGTACTGTATTCCAGCCAGTACTGTAGTAGTACCATACATGCACATGCTTTATGTGCCTTTCATGTATAAGACCTATCCATCCATCCATCCATCCATCCCTCCATCCTGCCAGGCAGAGGCAGAGCTTCCCTATGTCAAAAAAGCCTGGCACACAGCTGCAAAGAAGAAGCTGATTATATAACAGCTTGAAATTGTTTAGTTATTTAGCTACAGTATAATAATATCACTAAATATCCCCAAATCTTGTCTGTTGCTTTGAAGTTCTAATATAGCTACTTGGATCAAAGACCTATTTACTGCATGCGTGCCAGAAAAAAAAAAGAGATTTATTCAGTCACGCATCCCAGAAGGAAATGAAACCAAGTCAAACCAGCTTTGTTTCTGAAGCACGAGTCGCAAGTCTGACCGCTAAACTGCAAGGGAGTGATTTTATTTTTTACACGTGCATGCATTATGCACTAACCTTTCAGCACGCTACTTGATGATGGATCACATATACACACTATGAAAACTGCACGTCGTTACCTTCAAAAAGCTGAAACAGATTAATCCACGAGAACATCTACTGTATATTAACCGCTGTGATAGCGGTGGGCTTTCCTACACATCTGTACTTCATGTGTGTATCTCTCTTTATCAACGTTTGTCAGAAGAACGGCCCTTTTAAAACTTTTTGAAGCAGTAAATCAAAGAGCAGGTCTAGCATGTTATTGATCTTCTTTGAGGAATGTGGCTCATTGTGTTTGAGGAACACGCCACCTGCTCCTCCATGTGTTCTACACCTCCCTTCCTCTACAGTCTTCCTCTGTTTTTCGATTTTTCACTCTGTTCGTGATTTCCTCTTCTGCGCAGCCATACCTTCCTGTTCTGATCTCTCCTGTACTCTTAAGACAATCCACCAATCTTTCATTCCTCCCTTTTACCTTATGAATTATGTGTCTTGCCTTAATCGGCACCTGCTCCTTGTCTTGGAACCTCCATTCTTTTTTCTTCCCTTTTACTACAGTTTTTTTTTTTTTGGGGGGGGGGGTGGCTATTCCTTTAAATCATATTTTTATAGTCATTTTAGGGTTTTAGTGTCTATGGGTATGTTATACTGGCAACAAAGTTGTAAAACGGGATATAAATTTATAACTTTTTCTGGATATACAGAAATTCTGGATATTTTTGCAGTAACATTACTTAATGCTAACTTAAAGTTAATCTTTAAAACGCTAATAATCTTATAATACTGTTAAATGTAATCTTTAGCAAATCTCAAAATTAATATTCATTTTTCCTACTGTACGTTTATACTGTTGTGATATCTAAATTCACTTTTAGCATTTAAAAATGATTTATGTTAGATTTTATTGATTTATTGGTAACACTTTACTTAAAGCCTGTATAATGCATTATAAAATTAGTTTTAATGCATTAATTATGCCTGGTAATGCACCTTATAATGCATATCATTAATAGTTGTAACCACAGTTAATACATTATAGCACTTATCAATTCATTGTTACACAATGCATTTTAAATTCAGTTATAATTATTTACAGCAAGATATAGTGTATTACAATGCACATTATGAATCATTCTAATGCTGTATACCCTTTAATAACCCTTTATAATGCATTATACATAAAGGCTTTAAGTAAAGTGTTACGGATTAATTTTTTTATTAATTTATACAAAATATTATTGAATTTTTATATGTCAGTAATTTATCATTTAAAACATGAATAATTATCAGCTTATTGTAGCTTATAAGTCATAATTAACATTTGCAAGTCATCAATTAAAAATCCAGCCACTTGCAATGAATGAAAGTCCTGCCCTACATTTTTATTTTAGTATCTATATACTATTATTTGTTAATATTTTGAACGAGCTTTTATTTTTATATTTTCAGTTTTTTTTTATTAAAATTTGCTAAATTGTTAGTAATTTCATGTGCTTTTGTCATTTTTATTAGTTTTTTATATTTCTATTTAGTTCTATATTTTTATTTAGTTGAATTTATTTTATTTCTGTTTTAGTAGTTTTAGTACTTAAACTAAACCGAATAACTGAAATAAAATAAGGTTAAGTTGTGGTTAACAATAACAACACAGGTTAATAGCTAGTTAATAGTGGTTGGGTTAAATGTCAAAATGTTTCACTCAAAAATGCATACTTTACAGAAGTAAAATGAGTTGGGAATGGAGTTTCGTGCTAACCTACAATCCAACTTCTTCCTTTTTCTCAGGTGGCACTCAATACTTCACCCCTCAACCAGACCTGCACCAGTCCTGCCACCACCCTGTACGTTCCTGGGCCAACCAGAGCTTCGGCGCCCATCTGCACAACATGACGCTGGCCAACGGACGCCTTCGCGTACCCCAGGACGGCCGCTACTACCTGTACTCCCAGGTGTACTTCCGCTACCCCTCTCCCAGTGAGGGCGATCAGAACAGCGTAAGCCACCAGCTGGTTCAGTGCATCTATAAGAAAACCTCCTACCTGAGGCCAATTCAGCTGCTGAAGGGAGTGGGGACCAAATGTTGGGCTCCAGACGCAGAATACGCACTTCACTCGGTGTACCAGGGCGGCCTGTTTGAGCTGCGAGCAGGCGATGAGATCTTCGTGTCCGTCTCGTCTCCCACAATGGTGTACGGCGAGGACTCTTCTAGCTACTTCGGAGCTTTCCGTCTGGACCTGTAAGAACATATCAGAGGAGCTAAAACCGGGACTACATTACCCATTGGGTGGATCGTTTCGGGGCTGTGACCCAAAGACTTCATCGTTCAACTTTCCTTTCTTTAAGACTCTTGAATATGTGAAGGATGTGTGAATGAGAGACATTTCGGACAAGGCTGTTTCTCATTAAAAACAGAGGAATGTATGTATATTTTTACATTTCACATCAAAGATGTGAATCTTTGAAACGGTAGCAAAACAGGAGAGACGAACACTCACACAAAGCGAATCTGTGCCAATGGTGTATAGGGTTCGACGTGTGAACTCCACTCGCGGAATATTTGTGTACGGCGGATCTAAAACAGTTTTAAAAACAGAGATATGAGAAGAGAATGATGACAGCGGGAATGTGGAGGAAAGAAAGATGAGAGGGCAAGTATGCAGCTCTACCAGCCTCAAAGGAGCATCTTGGCAGGTTGCGGGACTGCGGAATTCTCCCCGTCCCGTCAGACCAGCGGAGCAACATGCCCGGACAAGAAAAAGACCTAAAACGTTCACATAAACACAGAGGAATTCAGCTTGTTGCATAGATTGCATTTAAGAACACCCATTCTATTGAGTATTTATGGCTTCCGCGCATACAAAACACAGCGATAAGATAAAACGCATACGTTTTGTCTCAGATACAAATAATTTTTACAAGTCTCCCTCTGCCGTCTGGTCCGGGGTGCAGGAGGAAGTGCTGTCAGGGAGACACGTGCTTCCCGGCTCACGTGGTGCTGGCCATATGAAAGGTTAAATAAACACTACGCTATACGGTTTGTTGAAATGTCGCACGTATATGATGCTTTGTTTTTGCTGCACACACATACAAAAACACACTCCAAGTGCCCTCAAAAACACTTTTTGACAAGTGGCGCTTCTTAGTTGTACATCCATCTCTTTCTCTATGTGGTTGGTTGGTTGGTTGGTTCAACCTGTGTATATAATTGTATTTAATTCCGAAACACAACGTTTGGAAATGAATGTAATGTTGTCCCATGAAAATCCCACAAAATGAGCCTCCCGCTGTAAACGTAAACGCCGTGACGTTCTCCAAATGAGACGGCGCTGTGAAGCTCAATACAAGCCTGTTTTTTTCGGAGGGAAAACTGTTTGAAGGAGGAGAGGGTGGGGGTGATTACTTTCCACTGTAAATGATCAAGTGCTGTCACAATGGTGTTTCTGAGAGCGAGCACAAACACTCGCTTGGGTTTCATTGTAAACCACGAGCATGTTTTCTTCTCTCTGGACTCTGCCCCGGTTTTTACTGATAAAGTCAGTGAGCTAAAGGGCCCCTGCCAAGACAGTGCCTTAAATCACATTATACAGCAAGAGCGAGGGAGCCAAGACTCTTTGTGGCATTTAGCTACGGACATGTTAGTTATACCACATATTACAAAACTTAATTCCGTCTGACTCTTATCTGCAATTTGTCTGGATTAAGAAACTTGTATGTTGATTTAATCCAGAAGGGGAGAACAAGTTATTCTTCAGCAGGTTAATACTTGTGCCGCAATGCCAAAATTTCCTCACACAGGGTGCTTTTTTATGTCTAAGGGAATGTGATGTCAGATACCACTAGGTTTTGTGTGTAAAAGTGCCTTTGGGTTGTGGTTTTGCACTGATCTGAGACCACCACCACCAATCTAAACTCTAACTTTTACCATGTTAAGGGAGGTTCAAAGTATGTTTTAGATCAGTGTTGAAGTCATACATGACCTCATCAATTACACATCATTAACCGCATTGTTTTGCAGCCCAGTGAGAACTCGTACGTCGTCCGCTTAGCGAAAACATGAGCATTTTGTCATTTTCTCACCCTAATGTCGTTTCAAACCTGTATGACTTTCTGTCTTCTGTGGAACACGAAAGAAATATTTAGAAAAATGTTTCAGTGTGGTTCTTTTTGTTCATACAATGAAAGCCAATGGGGTCCAAAACAACACCAGAGTGTGCACATGTGTATACAAGTTGAAATATGTACAACATGGGGGTCGTAGTGGGGTGAGGGGTGGCCTGGAAAGAGAAATATGGCTAAATTCCAGGATCTAGACGGATTACAGCAGGACTTGCCCTCTGAACCACAAAAGAACCACAATGAGAACACAGAAGACAAATGTATGTTAGGTGCGTCTATACGCGAGTGTGTGTTTATTAATTAAATGCTTGACTGGTTTCTGAATCAGTGGATGTGACTGTTTGCATACTTTAAAAAGCTTTGCGGAGATTTTACGGGACTGCTGTGAAAAACTTGAGTGGGACAGAACGCAGTGAAATCCAGTGAGCAACATGAACTGTCAGTTGAAACAAAAGGACTATTGTGTTTCCTTTTCCAATGAGAGTTTTTTTTTTGTTTTTTTTTTGGGGATTGTTAAATTCTCTGGCCACCAATCTGTGGGACTGTTGTTTACCAATGTTGCGTCTCCATCTTGGTAAGAATGTACTGATATCTCTCACACTCTCCCTCTTTATTGTATAATTTTACAATGTCTGACCTGTGTCCTTAAAGCATAAGTTCGAGGTGTCATTTTCAACAATTAAAGTGCCTTTTTATGAATCATGGGTCATAGTTTGATCATTTAATTGCTAGCTTGTGCATTTTTGCCCATGCCAATAACTTCCATCATGAATTATACGGCATTTCTTTTCCTTATTTTGCCAAACTTGCACACACAATACCACAGCTAACACACATGGTGCCCTTACACAAAAGATGTTTTCACACACAAAAAATGTTTGTTTTTCTGTCATGGCAGGGTCTTTTTTATTGGTTTATTCTTTTTTTTTTTTCGCTATTTTTTTCTTCTTTATAAAATAAAATCTGAATATACATACATATAAGATTTTAATTTTAAAAATAATTTAATAAATTACTTTTAATACTTAAGCAAGGATGCATTTAATTGATCAAAAGTGACAGTAAAGACATTTATAATGTTACAAAAAATTATTTCAAATAAACGTTTTCAATATTGATGATAATGATACATGTTTCTTGAACTTGATTTATGGTTTATGAAGAATCATGCGACACTGAAGGCTGGAGTAATGGCTGCTGAAAATTCAGCTTTGCCATCACAGGAATAAGTGACATTTTAAAAGATATTAAGTAGATCTATGTTCTTAGTGAGTGTCTCAGAAACAAACAATTATTAACAAATAAAAACAAACAATAATTTATATATTTTACTTATGAATAGGACATGATCTGAAAAGTTGGGGTTTGCATTAAAGGGGTCATATGATGCGATTTCATTTTTTCCTTTCTCTTTAGAGTGTTACAAGCTCTTGGTGCATAAAGAAGATCTGTAAAGTTGCAAAGACTAAAGTCTCAAATCCAAAGAGATATTCTTTATAAAAGTTAAGAGTTAGCCACACCTACCTAAAACGGCTCGTTCGAACACGCCCCCACATATCTACCTCACTAAGTGGGAAGATTTGCATAACGCCGCCCAAATATTCACGCAAAGAAAGAAGGCGTAACTTAAAAATATTTGGCTGCACAACTGTTGATAATTCTAATAATAAATCAGCATATTAGAATGATTTCTGAAGATCATCGTCGCTCCGGCCGGGACACGGCATCAACAGTATGTGAGGGGCGTAACATTTCCGTCACATGCTTGATGTATTCGGCCAATCACAACGCACTGGATAGTTGGCCAATCAGAGCACACCTCGCTTTTCAGACCGATTAGTTTTGTAAAAATCGACGCGTTTCAGAAGGCGGGGCATAGAGGAGAAACAATAATGTACAGTATGTGGAAAATAATGTGTTTTTTTAACTTTAAACCGCATAAACACATTTCATTACACCAAATACACAAAATAATGTTCTTTTTAGCAGCATCATATGACCCCTTTAAAGTGCCCCTATTATGGCATTTCCAATATTGCCTTTCACGCAGTGTGTAATGTAGCTGTATGTGAATGTAAACGATCTGCAAAGTTGTAAAGCTGAAAGTGCACGATAAATAACGTTATTGTCTCCTAAAATAAGAATGGACTCTGAACAGCTGAAACAAGTCGTTATAATTCGAATCCCACTTCCGTGACGACTACACGTCGCGGGGTAATACATTTGCATAATGCGCACCTATGTTCTACGTTGGCCGGCTGCGAACAACTTGACCCCGCCCACAAACACTTCATTCTACTGACGACTGCTTCTCTAATCTCGGGGAGTTCAACGCGGGATTCACAAAATGCTTGCTGTTGAAAGATGAATCAGTGTCCTGTTTATATGGACCAGTTGCTCCACTGAATCACAACCTGCAAGTATGATAAATAATAGATGTTTATATTTTCTATAGAAGCGTTTCTTTGACCTTGCATGCATGTAATCCCATTGTAGGAGACTCCCAAAACAATATTAGGAACCGTAAAAATGGCATAATAGGGGCACTTTAAAACCTTATCGGCACATCTCAAGTATATTACTTACATAATGCTCACCAAGCAGTCATAACTAATTTGCTAAAAATCAGCTAAGTGGATGCAAACTATATTAGGATCGTCACTAACTCACTGTGCGTTAGTTTAATAAACCACTTTACCAGTTGACCATTGCAACCAGCTGCCAAATATTTCTGTCATTTTACATGGGCAGCCACAATTTTTTCTTTACACTAAGGCCAAGATCAACAAAGCTCTTAGAATACATTGCCAGATATATAATGACTTCTAGTTTGCGCCCCTGCTTATGAAGCATATTCACTATCGGGACCGTCCCTAAAGGGATATTTTGTCAGATAAAAAACCCACATACACTCAGATCCAAGTGTAAGATCACTCCCCAGCTCTCTGTTCTCATAAGTCTTCCAGACAACCAGCTATGAGTCACCATCATTCTCACTTCTGCTTGGGGTCCCAATGTCTCACCATCACAAAAACAAAGCACACTCACAGGCCACACACACACTTACACACCATTTGACTCACTCAGCGTTGACCACACACCAGTCTATTCACTTTTAGATGTGGCCACACACACACACGGTCAGAAACACACACACTGAGCACCCAGACTGCACAAATATACCCTCACTCACAACAACTCAAACACTTCATCACACATTCCCCTCGCCAGCGCTCCCTAGCAATCCGTCACTCATATGTGTCATCGTTAAAGCTTTTCTGCCATTCATTAAGACCACCAAGCATTCCTATTCACAAACCCAACCTTGTCCTCCCCAATTCCCAGAATCCACCAGAACACTCCGGAATGTCACAGGAATCGCATGCAGACGCTGTCCGAATCGCTCAACATCTCCGCACACACACAGAGGATTCACTTATCTCATTCGTTTGTGCAGGGCCTGGAAAGAGTAAACACAAATAAACAAATAGGACAGTTGGCACGGTGGAGAGCAGCGGCGGGATCATCTCCCTTCTGTGAGACAATGAAGCTCCGCAATCGTCCCTCAGGCCCACATCCGTCTCCTCTCCTGTCTGAGACACAGAAATTAGGCCAGTTTGTCACTTAGACACAAGCAAACTAGATTTTGACATTTTCTAAAATCAATCGCATGCTTTTTTTTTTTCTCCCAAAACATTTTGGTAGTGTGTAGTGTATTTTGCATAGGCATTTACCTCAACTAAACAGCGGTTTACACAGGTGTTTGCTCAAGCAAAACTCCTTTGCACAACGCCATGGTGTTGTTATTTGGTTACCAAGATGTTCTAAGTGGTTGCCATGTAGTTGCTAAATAGTTTTAGGTGGTTACTAGATAGGTGATTACTGGCCCAAGCCAAAATAACTTTGTGTGTGTGTGTGTGTGTGTGTGAAGATAGCTCCTATAGAAGAGTATTATTTTAGTATCATTTCTACACTATAATAGTACTTATTAATATTTTAAAAATTGATTTTTGTTTTTTTGTTTTAATTTTAAGTTAATTTATATTTTAGTAATATTGTCATGTGCTGTCATTTTGATTAGCTTTTTAATTTTTCTTTTTAATTTTATTTGTATTGGATTTTTTCCCCCTAGTTTGGTTATTATAGTACTTGTACGAAAATTTGAAATGTTGCCTTTTTCAGCCTTTAACTGAAAGAAATAAAATGAGTTTAAGTTGAACTTTTTCATCTAATATTTATATTTTATTTCAATTAATGTAACAAACTGATATAGTTGTTGCAAAAAAAAAACAAAAAAAAAAAACTAAGTTTTAGATAAAGGTTAAAATAAGACCAAATAAAAGAAAAGATTTAAAATAAAAAGTAATGTGATATATTGGTGCAAATGTAAGATGTTAAGTCACAGCTGCAGTTCTCTCACATTTCAAGATATAGTATCAGATTTGGAGAAACATAAGGCTGAAATTGTTAGATATAAAGTTGCAATTACCTTTTTTATACTCACTCAGATGCAGAAACGGCTTCCATGTGTTCCCCATCTCAAAGCATTAATGGTGCAGGATAGGTAATGTGCTGAAGTTTAATACTTGAGGTTAGAAGGTTAGAACAAACTGTAAAGTACATAATAGCGATGCTTGTTTTAACAAACGCTACAAGCAAAATGAACCTGAACTAAATAATTGTAAGAGTGTGTTTTGTTCAAAGATCCATGTAAAATTCTTCTCTAAATCATCTGTGGACAACTTTCAAACAAAAAGACACTTGAGACACATTATTGCACACTGTTGCTACTTTAAGAAGCATTTGTGCTTTTTCAAAAGACAATATTGCTAATACAGTTACAAAGTAATAGTTATTAAAACATCGGCCTTCAAAAGGTGTGAGAAAGTCAAGAGTTCAGAAGCAATATCAAATAAGACGCGCCCCACAATCCTGTGGTGTTTCAAGAGACCCTCAGCAATTTCCTTGAAATACCACATTTAACACGAACCAGCGTGGGTCTGTTTCTACAACCACCAGAGCAATTTGGGATTCGAGGGAATAAAAATGCTCATATTTGGAATTTGGAATTTTAATGTCCTGGAGTCTTTGATTATGCAAGATAAACCAAAAACTTAAAGCCACACCGATTCTTTATATATCTGAAGCATAAACACATACCTTTTGACCTCAGGATGAATGCAGTCTGCATGGAATGCATCATTCAGATTTATTCAGATGGACAAAAGTTCATTTGAGAACATGATATAAATCACAGTCATGTACAAATACTGCAATAGAAAACACTTGTGCAAATAAATACATATTAAAGTTAACATCTCTAATCAATAAAACAGACAACAGGTACTTCATCTAATTTCTTTTCCTTCCAAGCAATTTGGTAATAACCGTATTGCCGTTTTGGCGAGAAAAATCACAGGTTTCTTTAGATATACATTGTAAACATGACGCCTGTAAAAGCAGTTTACTCAGGTTTAACATTTGTCTTCGGCCCTAAACAGGCTGTTTGCATAGAAAAAGGCAAGTACACGCCAACTAAACAGCTGTTTACTTGCTGCTTCCGGAGTTGAAAAGTTAGAAGAAGCCTATGTTCCTTAGATAAGAACATAGGAGGTCTGTGGCGCGTCCTGTTTTACATTACAACATTTCATTTGGTCCTGGTCCTGGCCCGGCTCCTTCTGCGCCAATCGAGTGTTGGGTTACAGCGCAAAAAGAGGCTCAGCACCCACCCGGATTGCAGGAATGAGTGGAAGTCCTTCGTGCCAAGTCTCTCCAATAACCCCCCGTGTGACACAGAAGGGACCTTTGTGAAACGATCCCTCCACTGACCAGTGAACACGGTTTAATTAACCTTTTCTCCTCTCCCTCCTCCCATATTCCCATGTTTTCCTAGGAGGGCCAAAGAGAAAAGCATAATCTCTCCTTCCAACACCCTTACGGCCCCCCGCACAAATACTCACACATACACGCACCTTTTCTTTCAGTAATCAGAGTGCAAGAATTTATTTTTTTCCCCCCACTCTATTATAACAGTTCAGAATCGCCCGTTGTTTAAGGACTGGACCGGAAATGGTCTTTCTAAGAGTGGAAGGCGGTCGGGGCTGCGTGACGGTGCTTGAGGGAAGCGGTCGGGGGACATCCTGGCGACCGGGAGCCCAGACGAGCAGGAGCGAATGGGAACAATAGCCCTCCACCACCTCCCTGCCCCTAATCCAACTCCCGGGAATTACAGCGAGTAGGGAAAGAGAGCGTTTAGAACAGGCATGAAAAGAATCAAATGCCTTTAATAGGTCATAAACAACCCAAATGCCAATGCAGGGGGGGGAAACATGCACTGGACTGGAGGGTGGAGGTTTTAAAATGCGTAGAGACAAAAAGTCAAGCAAGTATGCCAAGGAAGGGGACTACAGTACTAGTTTAGCCCTTTCATTACAGGGAGGATCTTGTTATGTCATGATTGGGTCCTCACGGACAAACAAGGGAGTTGCCTGGAGATGCTTCGCTGAGGTTGTCTGAGGAAATCCAACTCCCGGGAATTACGGCGAGCAGGGAAAGAGAGCGCTTAGAACAGGCATGAAAAGAATCAAATGCCTTTAATTGGTCATAAACAACCCAAATGCCAATGCAGGGGGGGTGGAACAGGAGGGGGGAGGTTTTAAAACGCGCAGAGACAAAAAGTCAAACAAGTATGCCAAGGAAAGGGACTACAGTATGCGTTTAGCCCTTTCATTACAGGGAGGATCTCGTTATGTCATGATCGGATCCTCGCGGACAAACAAGGGAGTTGCCTGGAGATGCTTCGCTGAGGTTGTCTGAGGACGACATGAGAACATGAGAAAGACAGCAAGGGTGATGGACGGAGGAATGGATTCGCATCTCCAAAGACAGCATGGAGGGGCCCAGGTGCTCAATATGAGCATAAAGATGTTGGGGGAATGTAAAGAGTCCCAAAGGTAGAGCATGCCGCAACACACCCAGCAAGCGAACCGGGCCAAGAATCAATCAGATGGCGCACAATGTCCAGAATGAACAGTCTGTGAGATAGTGCCTCCTGGTGGTGCCAAGCAGGAACTGCAGTTTGGGAAGCTGAGTGGAAATTGGTTGTTTGGCAGCCACTACAGACTTTTTGGAAAACATATGCCACTGGTAAGACCAAATAGCTTGTTGTAATAGCAGAACGACAGAGGGAGAACCAGGGCACTTCAACATAACTATTGAAGGCTTAGTTCAAACAAAAACCCTCATTTTGATCCAAAACTGTATGACTTTTTATTCTTCTGCAGAACACAAAAGAACAGACTTTGAAGAATGTTGGTAACCAAGCAGTTGTACTTGCTATCGGTTTTCATCGTATCAACAAAAAACCCACTAAGACGCTCTCAAAAGGTCTTGTTTTATGTTTCACAGAAGAAAAGAGAGTCATACAGGTTTGGAATGTCAAAATGGTGAGTAAATTACAGTATTTCTGGATGAGCCATTCCTTTAAGGCCTTATAAAAATCAACACTGGCTTCTGTCCGGTTGAAGTCGAATGCACATATAAACTTTTCAAAAGTGGCATGTTATCTTCAAAGCCTCCTTCTCAAAGAGTGAGAAACAGAGGAACGGCACTACTGAGGGAGTTTTGCTAGTATGTATAAATGAGAAAGAGTAAGTGCATCTGTGTGACTTCAACATGATACACCAAATCTCATTGCACTTCTACAAAAGGTGGCACATCTTCCCACAGGGATCGCTCGACACACACGCAGGTTCTGACAAGACACCCTTAACGCACGTTTCCCAGATCATCTCAGGAATGTTCTCACCCTTCTGAAGTTCCTTTCGAGGTCAAACGTCACTCCAGGGATGGAAACCCTGCTAAAAAATAGCTTAAACTACTATTAGATTGTTGGCTGGCTTAAAACAGTCTCAGTCAGTTAGTCACCCATTCAGATAAATGCCCAAACCCAGCAACCCAGATCAGCCTGGGAGACTAGCAACCATCTGAAGCTAGTTCAAGCTACTTTTTAAGTAGAATAAAGCACCATAAATGAAAAAAAAAAAGTGCAAAAAGAAGTCGTTGATCCCCATATTTGTAGGTAGGAAAAAGCATTTGGTCCACATACAGCAAGTCCTTATGGCAACTATTCAGATCAGGCCTGATATGAGGTTCACAGGTGTGAGAGGACAGCATTTTTTTGTCTCTGTAGCCTCCGGAAAGGCTAAACAGCTCCTGTCTGAACAGGTCCAGTGGTGGAAAAGCGAAAAGCTGCCTTAGGCCACTCTCACACCACTGTATAATAGCAGTACCTCAGCGACACACACAGTCCTACCACCACCATCATCATAATCGCAGGATGATTCAGCCCTCTGTCTGTGTGTGTGCAGGAGTGTCCATTCAGTCTTGAGAGTCTTCAGTTGAAGAGGATTGAATCCGGGTCTCTGTTGGCCATCTGCGCCATGTGTTTAAGAATGTCCTTTTTAGTGATGATTCCCAGCAAACGCCTGAAAAGAGAGGGAGAAAAAGGATTCTTGTTTTTAATTAATACAAATCACTGAGCTGTCAAGTCACACAAATCAAACAGACAATTATTGAACAGATGGTCCTTGTTAGCATATGCAAGAGAGAGACTATGTTTGCATAAAAGTTCAAGGCCACATGTTCAAAGTGTGCGTGTGTGTTTCCAGTCTTCTTGCTTTTTATATTATGTCATTTCCTTTTATTGTCCTAGATAGACTTGAAGGGTGGATCACAGGAATCCGAGAAAGACCAACAGCCACGTTGATCCGCTCAACATCGGGACCTGATTAAAACACACACTTTAAAAGGCAAAACAACTCTAGCAAGAATCAGCTTCAGCTGTTTTGAACAAATATGGTAGGGAGCGCTCTTATAAGAAAGGACATTTGTGGAAACAAAAAAAACCCAGAAACTCAAAATGGACTTTTATAAGCATAAATGCCCTCATCTCAGAAGTGCTGAGATTGTTTTATTTAAATCACTGGATATTTGCAGTGTATTTCTCAGGTCAATTTATTTGTATTGCACTCTTCACAATGCAGACTGTTTCAAAGTAGCTAGTGAGCACGCCAATGGCAAGAGTGCAGAGGAAAAACTCTCCAAGATGTTTACGTAGTTGTGGATGCAGAAGAAATTTTGGGAGGAACAAAGACTCAGATGAGAAAGCCCTCCTGCTTGGGCTGGCGCATATTTAAACAAAGTTTAACGAACAGTCTAACTGCAAATTGGAGACAACAGCTCTGTTCTTAAACCTAGTGAGCTAACTTTTGACACTGCAACATGAATAGCCCTCAAGGCAGTATTCGAACTGAGGTTGAACCTCATACAACAACACACAAATATGGGAGAGTTCACTCACAATTGATTCCAATAGAGAATGACATTAGCATGTTGCTAAGCAAACCTATTTTGTTGTACCAAAAAAAAAAAAAAGGAAAAAAAAGCAGTCCCTCAGTGTCATATAAAATATTCGAAGGCCCAAGTTATTTCTGATACTTCTGCTGTACTGACAAAGCTGCTTAAAAACTTTTTATTTACAGAAACTAGGACTATAGATATATATAATAATAATAATAAAATATGAATAATAATAATAATAATAATTCCCTACAAGTTCCAATAATGTTCTTCAGAGTTTACTTTTTTTATTATCACATCAAATGACTTTTCTAGTTTATTTTTACTCACATATAGCTATTTTCAGCTATTCCTGACAAAGCTGCTTAAAAACTTTTTATTTACAGAAACTAGGACTATAGATATATATAATAATAATAATACTAAAATATGAACAATAATAATAATTCCCTACAAGTTCCAATAATGTTCTTCAGTGTTTACTTTTTTTATTATCACATCAAATGACTTTTCTAGTTTATTTTTATATATATATGTGTGTGTGTGTGTGTATATATGTATATAACACTTAAAATTCCTACATACAGTATATCCAGGTTTTTCATGACCGTGGGAAACCTGGTTCTTAAAAAAAAAATAAGCTAAAACGGCTAAAAATAAAGATGTAAGCTGACATAATTTTTTTTAAATAATTCTATATCATTTTGACAGTTACCCTTGGTAGTGTACTGAGACCCTCTAATGGGCCCTGGCAGTACAGGAAAGAGCCCTGGAAGTATCATTTAAGTACATATTATACATTTATTCTCAACGTTTCTCTCAACTCTTGTCCAGCATTTTGAAAGAAAGCTTAGCTCTTTGCAAGCTATTCTAGGGTTACCTTATCAGATTGTGATGCTGTTTTGTCCAAATTAGGTTATCTTAGAAGTTTGCGTAGTGTCGCTGCCACGTGTTGCCTTTAATGCTTGGTAGCTCACCAGTTTTTGAACCAGAGCTAACATGTAACTTTAGGGGTGAGATTAACATTTTTCAATCTGAGCTGCGTTCATAAACTATAACTGAGACATGATCACTAAAATGCTGTTTATTTCTCCTTGGCCCAGTCAAATCTAAAAAATGACAGCCTCATTCTGCTTCTCATGGGAGAAAACAAATATCTGCTACACTTGTATCTCAGCTACTGCTTCAAACAGACCACACAGCTATGCACATCATCCATGTCCACAGACTCACCCGTTCTGAATGACGAGGCACTGACGCAGGCCGAGCTTGCGGAAGATGTCCACTACGATTTCCATGGGCGTGTGCACAGTGACCGTAAAGGGGCTGAGGTCTAAGATGCTGCGCAGTTTGACTGCAGGAGGTGCACTGGGTGACATGGGTGGATCACATTCAGTGAACAGGATGGGAGACATGCTGACCACACCCTCCTGATTCCGCCGGGCATTTTCTAAGATGATGGAGCGGGGAAAAACAGGGAAGTTAGCTGGATAAACTCAACACTAATACATCAGTTACAACAAGGGTTAATTAGCTAAACTTCTGTGGCAGCCCATGGACCGTTCAGAAACCATCATATTGCACACAAAACTGGCTGAAATCACTGCTTCCAATCTGATTGGCTGGCCTCTCTAAAACGTCTTGGATTCAGTGTACACCAGTTTTTAATCAGTCATCCAGGGAACAAAGTTGCACTTACAAGGCGCCAGGCTGACAAAATCTCTGTGGTATCAACTCTTTGACTGATAATCAAGGGTTTGGTTTGAGACATTTAGTAGCAAGAAAATAAGATACCCTCAGGCACAACTTGATCTCCCTAAATATCAGAAAAAATAAAAGATAACTACTTTGAGACTGTGGTCGGTTGCATCAGTAAGTTGGCTGGTTTGTAAGACTCTGACAGTCAAACCGATGTCATGATGACCTGCAAGTAATTTCTACAGAAACAAAGAGCAATATATGGCCTAGAAATAATGTAAGAGTAGGTTTAAATTTTATTCTTTGTTTTTTTTTTTATATTTTCATACTTAACCCAAACTTTTGAAAGATACTGTATCACGGTTTCCACAAAAAATATTAAGCAGCACAATGGTTTTCGACATTGATAATAGAAATAAATGTTTATTGGGCAGCCAATCAGCATATTCAAATGCATTTCTGAAGGATCATGTGAAACTAAAGACCGGACTGAATTAATTTCTCAATATTACAGTTTTAAAATAAATGCAGCCTTGGTGGCCATAAGAGTCTTATTTTAACCTCATAAATCTTTTGAATTTTTTAACAAAAAATACATAAATAAAAATAATACTAATCATATGTATAAGTCTCTTCTGCCCACCAAGGCTACTGCATTTATTTGATAGATATATATATATATATATATATAATAAAAACAGTAAAAAATTATATTTGTTTTACAATATAATTTATTCCTGTAATCGCAAAGCTGACTTTTCAGCAGCCACTACTCCAGTGTCACATGATTCTTCAAAAATAATTTCTAATATGCTGATTTGTTGCTCAAAAAATATTTATTATTATTAATGATGAAAGTAGTTGTGCATTTTTTTCAAAGTCTTATAGTTGAAGTGAAGCAGTCAGGTTTACATTATTTAGTAAACTGATTTCCACTTTAATTAAAATATAACAAACACTATTAATGTAACCATTTGAAAGAAAAAAGGCGTGTGATGTCACACTTTAACTGTGATTTTTGTTCATACACACATACACCCCTTGTTTTCTTTGACTGAGAAAACCCTGTAAATAGCATAAATATGTGGAGTGGCCAATAAAAATACTCTCACCTAAGGATATGACCAGATCCCTCCTCAACACAAAGCCCACCAATCTCGGAGACTGCTGTGAGATCACCACAGGAAAGCCGCTGTAGGTGGTGTCTGCGATGAGTCTCTCCACCTCCTCTACAGTCATTCTGCTCTCCGTCAGCACAGACAACAGTGGGTCGCCCCGCCGTGGCTGCATCACATCTGTGGCAAGAGTCTTGTGACGGAATTCTTCTTTGGCCTCCAGGAAAGGGTAACCGTTGAGGCGGATGTGGGCCTCGTAGATGCTCTCACGACCCAGAGCGTCCGCGACCCATTTGCTGGTCATGGCGGCAGCCATGAGGGGCACGATGTACTCTAAACCTCCCGTCAGCTCGAACATAATGACCACCAGAGAGACAGTCATACGGGTCACGCCACCTAGAGTAGAAATTAGAAGAAAAAAAAAACTCTTGCTTGCTAATTTGACAATATAGCATATTATGGGCTTACATTTCTGCCACAATTCTGCGCGCGAAAGATCATATTTTGAGCGCACAAAAGTGCATTTTGCACGCACGCGATCTGAGTTTTGTGGAGAAAATGTTCGTTTCGCAAAGAAAAAAGTCTTTCGAGCGCACGGAAATCAATTTTGCATTTAAAATACGTTTTTGGATGTGTGCAGACCTTCTCTTTTGCACGTGCAACGTTTCACTAGCTTGCTCACCTGATGAGAAAAAAAAAACTCTTGCTTGCTAATTTGACAATGTAGCATATTATGGGCTTACATTTCTGCCACAATTCTGCGCATGAAAGATCATATTTTGAGCGCACAAAAGTGCATTTTGCACGCACGCGATCTGATCTTTCGCGCGCAGAATTGTGACAGAAATGTAAGCCCATAGCATATAGCCTAATGTAGTGATTTAATGGTCTCTAATGCAAATTATAAAACTAACAACACTTCATTAAAACTGCGACAGTCAAATGAGTCAATGACTCTGCAAGGTCAAGCTACATTCCTGAAAGCCACCATTAAATGCTTCTGCATGGAAGACTGCACAAGGCAATTTGGTTGCAAAGTGAAAAATAAATAATCTGGAAAATGAATGTTCAGGAAATTTTCACAGAGATGCAGAAGAATCACCCCTCACCCAGACAGGCTGCTGCGCCCACCATGGCGTACAGGCCCGGCGTGATGCAGTCTGCCCCTGGAGAGCACCAGCCTCTGAAAATGTCCCCTTCGTGGTGGCGTATGGCCAGCTGCTCCATGCACACACCAAGAAGTCGGCCTGCTATGGCCCCCACCGCCATACTAGGTATGAATAAACCAGATGGCACCTGGAGAGAGAACAAGGAGCAAGACGGAATTAAAAGATAGAGATGACAGAGCTCACTTGATATGCTTTGCCAACTTATGAAAATGTTTTTTTTAAGTTTTATTGTGACTGGGCTGAATCAATACCACATTGTTGCCTTTCTTATGATGCCAACCTCTGGTACGGAGAGTATTAATAATAAATAGATACCCAAGGCAACAACAAATAAACAATCTCAGAGGATGAACCAAAAAATGTAAATAATAATAATAATAAAACTAAATAATAATATAATATTTTAGTATTAGTATTAATGGTATTGTTAATAAAATTGAAAACCATTAACTATGATTGTTTATATATAAACATAAGAAATTAAGAAATCTTGCCTTGCCAACTACATTAAATAAAATTAAGTATTTTGAAGTTGAAGAACTAAAATGACTAAAAATAAAAATAAACCTAAATGGAAATATTTACAAATTCTAAAACGAATAAAAATGACAAGTCACATAACAAAATTATTAAAATTAAAATGAAAAAAATATAAAAACAAAAAAAGCAATTCAAACTATTTTAAATACTATAATAGTATTAACAGTAAAACCCGCTCACAAACTTGTCACGTGATAAAGCAAAGAAACAGAAAACTTTCCAAAATTATATTGTACCATGGTAAATCTGTGGTATTAAAGTTACACTATCTAAACTATTATATTATATTAACTCATTTAGTGGTTTTATACTCAAAACGGTCCTGATATTTGAATCTGTTTTGCCTTCAAAAAAATACATCTGGGTCTTTTACCTTCATGCCAAATGTAACCACAGTGAAGATCATCTTTAAGAGCAGTGCAAGAGCTAGCTGCCACATAGCTGTATAGAGATCTGGCCCCACCAGCCGAGCCCCCAGACCATTAGCGGCAGTGGCATTAACGCTTCCTGATGCGCTTCCACTGTTGCTGGTGTAGCAGCAGAGTTTCGATGAGTCCAGCAGACCACAGTCATTAAACAGCTCGGAGATCAGTTCGCTGCTGCTCATCCGGGTGTACTCGATTGGGAACGCTAGAAACGCTGTTAACAGGGTGACCACCACAACCTCAAGGACAGGGTAGTGCCCAAGGCAGGTGTTCTTTCGGAGACGGCACCAGGCAATGTTAGCACGAATAAAGAAAGCACCCCAGAGGCCACCGAAGATGCCCAGAAGCACAAAAGGTATGAGTTCCAGAAGATGCCAGGGAGTGTGGAACTCCACGTAGAAAAGGACCAATCGGCTGTTGCCGAAGGGATTAATGGAGCGAAGGGTGAATGCTGCGACCAGAGCAGCGAAGAACGAACGCCACAGAGTCTTCAGAGGGAAGTAGTAGCTGACCTGAAAAAGAAATGCATGAGAAATATGGTCACTGTCAGATGTTAAAACAACATTCAGCAGATGTTTTCACAATTTTAGATTAAGCATTAGACTACTGTGAAAAACAGTTTGGGGTCAGTGAAAAGTCAGAAACAAACAAATACATTTATTCAGCAAGGACACATTACATAAAATTACACATTATTTCAGTTATCATACATCGAGTATGCCTTGTAATGCACATTATCATGTAATGTACAGTCTCATGAATAATTCAAACCACAGCTAACACATTTTAACACTTATCAATTCATTGTTACACTATGCAATTTAAATTCGGAACAAAAAAACAACAAGATATAATGTATTATAATGCACATTAATATAATAAATATAATGCATTATAGCCTTTAATAACCCTTTAGAATGCATTACAAATAAAGGCTTTAAGTTAAGTGTGACCAATGTTTCTTGTCAGCATATTAGAACCATCTCTAAAGGATCATGTGACACTGGAGACTATATTTTAAACTATCTTAAAATAGAAAACAATTACTTTTAATTGTAATAATATTTAACACCATTTCTGGCCAACATAAATGCAGTCTTGTTAAGCATAAAAAGAATTTTCACAAACATAAAAAAACCCAAAAAATCTTACCTACCCCAAACATTTGAACAGTAACGTATATGTGAATTTTTGAGTCAATAACTCATTTTTTTTGTGTCTTTCAAAATTACATTAAAAATGCAATGCATACAGAAAGTCAAAGGACAATAACAATGATAAGAATCTATGATAAACGTTTTAAATTTTACAAATCTTTTGTGGGGAATAAAGTTAAAGTATTTCAGGGAATTATAACCATTTTGAGCTCATAATTAAAAGGCTTTTATTTGTTCATTTATTTATAAAGAAAAGTAAAACAGTTTGTTTTATAATATTATTTTTTTGTTTTGTTGGCCAAATAAAATCATATCATCATGACAAGTATTCACATTGAATCACAGAGAGTCTCTCAGTTGGTCATGATCATAAAATGACCCACATTTAAAAAGCAGCCTGTCTGGGTTTATACTGGTTTCTTTGGCTGATTGTACAATAACCCCTCCAAAAAAAAAAAAAAATCAGAAACATAAGTCAGAAATACACATCTCATTGTTTATGGAAGGACTGCTGAAATATAAAATGCTTACCTCTTCCAGACTGAAAAGCACTCCTCCAATAGGAGCACCAAACGCTACAGACACTCCCACTGCAGATGCTGCAGACAACACCTGATACACACACACACATATTTACATTCCATTGCATTCTTATTTCCTAACTAATATGCACAATAAAGAGCATATTCACCCTACTAAATTCATGAACAATCAGCCTATACGGTCTAGAAAAAGCCTCGTCTGTTCGCTATTTCCATTACCAAATTGGCACTGGCAACTTCCAGCACATCAGTTAACAGAGACCAAGCCAAGAGGCTTATATCAATGTATTACATTACAAGTTTTGATCCAAGACACAAAATACTTTGTTACTTTTCCATCAGTCTATCCCACACTCCCCTCTCCCTTATCTCTCCATCACTCCATTCCTCCTCTCCTTATCTCCCGCCCCAGTTCCTCTCACCTCTCGTCTCTTGGCCTCATTTCGACGGTATTTGGTGAAGAAATGGCATAGGACGTTTGCGCAGCAGCAGGCTACGTGAACCAGCGGACCCTCCTTCCCCAGACTGAGGCCGGACGAGACGGCCAGCACCAGTGTGATGGTCTTGATGATCAAAGTCCACTTCCCTAGGTAACCCCGAATTATAAAGCCACTCAGGATGGTCTTAATCTGCAAGCATTCAGGATTGGTTATTCAGGATTCAAAATGATTCAAAAACTGGCCATTTTCCAGACCATAAGTTGAAGAACGGTTTTGATTCACTTAAGCAGTTATTCTTGGCATACGAACATGTCTTAATGGATCGTTTTAAAAACAGCCATTAAAAAATGTCCTTAAATCTCCTCTGACAACTCCTCCACATGAATTTAAATCAGTAGTACAACTACAATAATCTAACATGGGGTTTTGTCAGACAGACAGTGTGACTTATGTCAGAAAGCCCTTCATTGTTCTTTCTGCCAAGGTTAGAGAGCAGAAGCAATTGTGGTTGAACATCTGAAAACAGTACAGAAAACTGTAGAACTGTCGAAAACTATAATAAACAGATATAATCTGTATCCGGAGGCGGACAGTAGTGACGTATTTTTACTCTGCTGTAAAAGTACTTCTCAGGTGTCTGTACTTTATCAGAGTGTTTTGTTTTTTTTAGAAAACTTTACTTTACAACATTCCAAAGCATAATATTGTACTTTTTACTGCACTACGTTTCATATTAAATATAATTTAATACTTAATTACATTAGAAATCTATTACTTTCTTACTTTTACTCAAGTAAAAGTAATTCAAAGATTTACTTGAGTACAAGAAAGTACTAAATTTTTAATGCTCTTACGTATTAAAGGTAAAACAAACAACAACTTTTATTCATGAAATGAAGTGCAGTAAAAAGTATGACATTATGCTTTGGAATGTAGTGAAGTAAAGTTTTCCAAAGAAAAACACTCCGATAAACTACAGATACTTTTTAAATTCACTTGAGTAAAGTAAAAATACTTCACTACTGCCCGCATCTCACTTTACTGAGACAGTTTGGAAAAGAAAAAAAAAAAGAAGATTTTAAGGTATAAAACGGCTATTAAAGCCTGACTCACTACTGTGCACTTAACAGAGGGGTGTTTTTTAAATCACATTTAAAGTGAAGCAGAAGAGACAATGTGATTGTACGGCTGGAGAAAAGCTCTACAGTGAGTGGTTTGTTGGGAAAAGAGCTTGAATGAGTGGAAAGATATATTACATATATAGTTTGTATGAGCGTTTGATGAGCATCTCACCTCTGGTATTCCTGAACCGCAGGCATAAGGGGCAAAGGCTCTCACCAGAATCACTGCGAGGAAGGCGAAGAGAAGAGCCCAGCACATATACATGAAATAATTCACCACATACAATCCAGGCCCCTGCAGGACACACACAGGAAACAAAAGAATCTTATACACCGTCACCCCCTACAGGACATATTCACAGTTAGGCCACAATTATTTTTACATGCTACATACTATTTACTCACATTCTAAAGTCTGTGAACCTCGATTTATAATTTTGAGTCTAAAAATAATAAAGAAATGAATGCTGGAAGATTTGAGGATTGTTAAGGCTTATACCTGCCTCATCGATGAGGTGTTTAAGAGTCTTTAAAATAATGCCTCAAAACTCAAGAGACAGCATCCTAAAAATGATCTAAATTCAGATGTGAATAAATGTTTAAATTCAAAGAACATACGCTACCATTTTTTTTTTTTACAAAAGTAAAAATATAATTAAATCTAAGATTAAAATGCATGTTTTATTGTCATTTGTTCAAAAACAATATTGTAGCTTTGTACCACAAGGGGGTGATATACACTACCATTCAGAAGTTTGGGGTTAGAAATTAGGGGATAGAAATGTTAGAAGTTGTTATTTTTATTTCAAATGAAAAAAAAAAAATAAGCTGCATGATTGTCTTCAACATTGAAAAGATTAAATGTTTCTTGAGCACCAAATCAGCAGATTAGAATGATTTCTGAAGGATCTTGTGACACTAAAGACTGGAGTTTTTAAATCAGTGATACATTACATTTTAAAACATTAAAATCAATTAGTCATTTTAATTTGTAACAATATTTCAATATTCAATTGTTAATATATTTTTCGTCAAATAAATTCATCACTGTTGATCATAAAATACTTGTTTTTTAAAAACATTTAAAAAAAAATGTTACTGACCCCAAACTTCTGAATGGTAGGAACATATCAACAAGTGAAGAACTCGAACCACAGTGAAGAAAGGCAGCTGGAACTCATTTCATTAGCCTTCGCAAAACACTCTGTCATACATTTACTTGGAAATCTTTGCGCTAAACATGTTTGTAAAGCTTCGATTCTGCTAAATTGGAAACACTTATTACAACAACCAGACAGAAAATGAAAAGGAAACAGACATCTGTCCTTCATCTGTCAACATGTCAGTAACAGTGTGATATTTTATGAAAACAATAACCACGAATGTTTGCGCTCTCTCATGTCACTGGAAAAATTAATGCAAAATTTCATGCAAAGCGGTAGACAACAACATAATGATGAAATGATTACAGATGTAATATTCTCCTCCTGGTATTGTACTCGCTCTCGCACTGGTAACATGGATCTCTGTCACACAATGCGCCTGTCTGGGACAAATACAGAACCCACCTCACTGACTCCAACCATGAGTTCTGCCCAGCTTTTCCACTGAGGACACTTGTCTCTTTCCTGGAAAGTGGTCTCATTGGAAGCCCAGCAGCAGTGTTCGTGATTAAACCAGAACCCGTTCAGACACACGCCCTCTTTAAGGTCTGTCATCCAATGGGCAGCAATGTCTATACCTCCGGCCAAGGCCCCTGGGAGACATGGGACACAAAAGACCTTCAATTCACATCATATGAACATATTTTTCCGACAATAATCTTTTTACATTTCCTAAAGAGAATGAGAGTGGTGTTTGCTAATGCAGACTTGCCCCCATAATGCTACGATATTTTGGGAGTTTGCCAGATCATTGCTATGTGGTTTCTACAGTGCAGTTTTAGCACATTGCTAGGTGTTTGCTTAATGGCCCAAGTCAAACAAGCTCATCCTCAAGTTTCTACAATATTCTAGATACGATCCTAGTACCCTCTTCAATGCAGGTTTATGTTTTTTTTTGGTTTTCAATTTTTATGTTGCCCATCAGGCTAAAATCTTAGATCTGACAGTGAAGAAAAGTGATAGCACATCTCTTGTCAACATTTGAGGTATCATTCGCTCTCCCTATGTCACAAATAGTTATGATGAGTTGTGTACTTATGAGCAAGAGTAATACTGCTGCTCGCTAATTTTCTTTATATGAAAGCCCATTTCTGACACACACACACACACATACACACAAACATGCTTTGGTAAATCATAATTATTAAGTCATAAAAAGTCATAATTATAACACACAAAAGACAAAATTCTGAGATACCAAGTCATAATTATGAGACAAAAATGTATAAATGACAGTCAAAATGTTGGTCATAACTGAATTATCTTATTATTATGACTTAGTATTTCATACAACATTTTTGTTATAATTATGATTTACCAAAGCATGCTTTATCCTTAGATGACAGAAATATGCTTCTATATACTATCAAAGCTTATTTCCGACATGAGAAAAAAAAAACATGCTTTCAGAAATCCATTATGAAAGTCATAATTATGAGATAAAAAGTCAAAATGATGACACAGTATGTCAAATAATTATAAGATAAACGAAATCTCAAAAATATTTGCAATACAAAGTCAACAAAATTCTTATAATTACTCTCCCTCTCATAATTTCAACTTTTTTGGTCACAATTATGATTTACCAAAGCATTTTTTCCTTATATGGCGGAAATGGGTTTTTATACTTTAATGATGAACGCAGAAAGTGCTGTAAAATTAAAAAAGTATTCAGCAGGGGCCATTAAGCAGGTGATATTTAGTAGGAAAACAAAGCAATCAAGATGTGCAAAAGTAAACAGGAAGTAGGGAAGTAAACAGGAAGTGGGCTGACCTGACATGAGTCCAATGAGAAGCATCAGAAGCCAGCCGGAAAAGGCATCACTGATGCTGAAGAGCAAGGCTACTGTGGACTGCTTACTCTTATTGGTGATCTGAAAGAAAGATGAGCTGTTAAAGCAGGAACTGAAGGGTGAGGTTTCATAAGCAGTTTCATTCCCGCTCACCTCTCGATGCCGATCTCGGTCTTTAGACTTCTCCCTAACCCAGTCGATGGTGTTGAAGTCCTCGTAGGTACCAATGCCAGGAACAGTGTCATCCAGTAGATCCAACAGCTTGGGACTGTTGTTTGGCCTCCATTCTGCTTTACAGCGGCCTACAGAGACAAAACACAACAAATTCTCATGGGAAACCAGCAGACACTCTGCATATTTGCGTGCAGCAGTGCATGCCTATGCCATTTTTCTATTGTGCAAATAGAATGCAAATAAAATGGCAATTAAACATGGACAATTCCCATTGTGGTTTGAGAGGAATAACAGATAGCAATCAGTTCACTAATGCATTGTCAGTCAGAGCTGTTAGCGTGTGGGTCAAAAGTAATGCACTTTGACAGAGCCAGACAGACTTAACAAAACCACAAATAACACTGGATGAAGTCAAAGTCAAAATACAAACCAGTTTGAACAGGATTCACAGTGAATGTTACATGTGTTGTTTACACAATACATAAAGCACTTTTATTTTACTTCTAGCATGTTTATTCAGAAACAATGACTAACCATGAAAACACAAAATCCTTTATTCCAAGAAGAACTATAATTGAAGTAATTGAATGCTACATTTAGAGTCGATACTATGCGATACTATCGGACTAGACAGGAATTGATAACTAGACAAGCTGCTTTGGCCATGGTCGTAACAGAATGAGCTTTATTGCCAAGTATGTTTACAGAAGGCTGGGTGATAAAAAAAAAAAACATTTACAAAAACCTCTCTCTGTATTTTTTGGCTGAAATGCGATATACAGTATATCTCTGTATTTTGTACGCTTTCTATTTGGATACAAAAAAAATCTGTATTTATCAAAATATATATATATATATATATATATATATATATATATCCTGCCCAATGCTGTCCAACAAATACATATTAAAGGCTATGAAAACAAATACAGTGAATGTAACCATGTAGGTTATGCTATATATTATGTGCAAAAAAAGGGTTAAAATTACATTACATTATAGCATTGTAACACTACAATCTAATAACAAACATAATGCTTTTTAAAGCAGAAGTTAAATTCACTAAACTAAAACTTAAAACAAATAACACCAAAAGCGCAGACTAATTGTATTAATTGTAAGTGCTATTTTGATTCCCCCATTATAGTCACTTTATAGTTAGTGCTATCATAAAAATACACTTACCTGTAGGTTTAAACTTCTACACATGGCACATTTATTGTCCAACAACAAATATTTTAGCAAAATGTATATTTTTGTCAAAATTACTCTATTGCGCTCTGTCTGTTTGGCGCCGTCTCGTTCACTGACGTCTGTGAAGTTTAGCAGAGAATCGCGTACAGAAGGCTCATGCACTCCTGACAGCAAAATTAAAATCTTTCCATGACTTTCTAACATTTACAGATGGAATATATACCTGTAAAATATAAAATATGCACAGAGGAAAACACTAGGGGTGCTCCGATCAGGATTTTTGAGGCCGATCACCGATCGCCGATTACAGAAAGCAGTATCTGCCGATACGATCACCGATCTTTTTAAAGCCTTCTTTTTATCATTTATAACTATTCATAGTGATACTCCAATCAGGATTTTTAGACATTTATTCAGGGCCTGAATTTCATTTTTGAAAATGGGGGGAATTCCTCTCTTGGGTGACTCTTGTGAGAGAAGCAGCTTTCACACAGGAGTCTGCAACTGATCCGCGGCTGTTTACTATACAAACACAACATTTATCCATTATTTTGCTTTCAAATCCAAACACTGTCACTGAAAATGCTTTTTCAGCATTGCGGACCGCAACCGTGCGCAGTGTGCACGCTTGATTAATCTGTTAACATGAGCGCGGGGAAAATACGCACCACATTCGCACTGCAAACAGAGTAATGTGAACCTGGCGTTATGTGTGTGCGCTGCGAGTGTGCATGAGCGTTGAATGGTTAAACACTGGCAAGAATTAAAAAGTAATGCAATTTATAAACTTTAGTGACGATGGGACACTGCCTCGATTGTGCAAGAGACAATCCCTGTGTCAACTGTGCAGCGTGCAGCTCGCTTATAGACAGACGCGATGTGTGGTGATTTGAAGACATTTGCGTATTTTGAGAGAGCGCGCGCGGTGATTCACTCTCGCGGTTTGTGAAATTATGTCTCACACAAGGTTTTCAAATTACTTTATTAGTTATTTAATTAAGAAATATGAAGGTGAGTACCTCAACTTCAGCATTATAATTATTTCACCCGCGCCAGACAGAGACGGTGCCACTGCATGTCGTGCCAAACCTCTCACGGCAGCGTCATCAGCTTGAGATCGTTTTTTTTTAGATCTGCCTTTTAGAGACCGCCGATCGATCATCCCAAAGCGATTATCGGCCGATAGTGATCGGTTGCCGATCAATCGGAGCACCCCTAGAAAACACCACATCTCAAACGCATTAAACAGCCTATCTGTCAGCACATGAGGCAAACCGCTTTAAACTACACGTTAACTATATCTTACAAGCTATTTTAAATGAATATGTTTATTTTTCAGATGCGCTCTATGAAACTAAGGTATATCGATATAAACGGTATTGCCTCATCATACCATATCGATATATCGTACAAACTCGATATACTGCCCAGCCCTAATACACACAATGAATTTGTACTGATGATTAAGTGAAGTGAAACACACGTCAAATGTTTCAGATCAAACAAGTTTAGCTGGTCTAACACAAAAAGACACCAGGCCTTCAGACTGGTTCTAAAAAAATGTAATACAAATTCAAAGATTCAGGTTCAACTCGAAACAAGGCTCTGACAGCACAGCACAAAGCAAAAATTTAGAAAAAAAGGCCAGCAAACATTTTGAACAGAATCTTCTTCAGTGCTTAATTACAGGTGCAAGAGTCATCTTAAATTGTAATTAGGTGCTGAAAAAGTCATGTTGTAATCAAAACGTTTGCCATTCCTCAGCAAAGCTTTGTTTGTTTTTATCTTACACTTGCATTTTTGGTTGTCTTTTTTAATGTTTGAATGTTCAAATCATACTCAAATAGGCTGAAGAGGAACTTAACAGGAAATAATAACAGAAAATAACAGGAAATTTTAGCGCTCAAAATAGATCTATGGGAAAATAAGGTTAAGGGAACAGTGTGGACTTTGACCCATAAACCTTTATTTGAGTCAGATGTACTTTGACTTAGTGGAAAAACATTAAGGAGGAAAAGATGTTTAAAGCATGGGGGTTTAAGAGGAAGCAGAAGCTCTGTAAAACAAGTGTGCTTTTATTATTATTCTGTTCTATATGGTCTTATTCAATTCACTTTGGTCTCATATGTTGGGTCTTTTACTTATGATCCAGTTAAGTAAAAAAACAAATTAATAAAAGGAGTAAAGACTGAGTAAGAGAAGGAAAGAGAATAGACATTTATTTACCATGAAAACAGCAGCTCAACCTAAAATTAACTTTCATTGTACTTCCTCTCAGTTCTTAAAATCTTCAAATCATTCTTAAGAAATGAAATTATGCAAATGTTGCTGGTATCTTTAAAGTATAACTGTGCTGACATAACTCCAATGAATACTGAGCAACGGATCATGTGACTTGTTCTGACAACAAGTATCATACTTCAACAAGTGGTAAAATGCACACGGAGGCGGTAACTACATTTCCTGCCTGGGAAAGTGACTCATGACTGTCTCGTACATTTATCAGTATAATCATGTCATGCTTGCTGTAAACCTCAGACAGAATTGAGGGCACACAGTTCTGTCTCCATGAGCTAGACTCTCCAAAATACTTGTCATTGATCTCTCCCCTCCTCCCTCACTTTATTTTCTCTTTATCTCTCAGTGCATCACTGAAAACAAAGCTGAAACACACAGAGTGCATAATGTTGCCCTAGGTACACACAATTCATTAGTATTTTGCCATTGTTTGCTCAAACATTGGAAGAATAAAGGGTTTTCATGCTGAACTTCATTCGAATTATTCAGAACACCCACACAAAACACATGCACACATAAAGAAAATTTCACTAACATAATAGTACCATAAACAACCATGGTAATACTATGGTGCTCATTTAAGTTCCTTGGAACAAGGATTTTAGCACGTAAAATCCTTAAATACAAATATGTTCCACTTCAGGCTGTGGCACACGTGTCTTTTTGCTGTGAAATCTTCACTGACTTTTGTATATACACATTTTGAATAACTTTTATATTGTTTCAAAATTAACAGTTTCAAAATGAACACTTAGTTGTTTCCACCATGGGATAAAAAAATAATAATAATAAAGGGAATCTGCAAGTCACAAACTCATAATTGTGAACAAACTGAGAATTGTGAGATGTAAACATGAAAAGTTTATACTGACTTTTTATCTCACAATTCATACTTTTTTCTTGCAATTCAGAATTATTTTTGGATTCTGAATTCTTAGAATTGCAAGAAAATGTATGAATTGTGAGATAAAAGTCAAATTATCCTATCCTTTTTTACCTTATATTTATTAATTACCTGATTATCCATACATATTTTTTGTTAGTTTTTTTTTTTATAAAAAAAAATAGTGTTCAAATGTGAGTATCAAAAATACAACAGGTTATGGAGGAGTGCTTATTTGCATAATCGCTCGATCATCATTGTATTGCACTGCATTATGATTTGACCCCAACAATAAAAACTAGCTTTGGTAACTTAAGCATTTAAATAACATCTTACTACACCGTAATTTTGGGATATATTTATATGCATTTTATGCTAGTCTGCTACACTGCTAAAGATCTCACTGAGTTACATTACAAGCTATCATAATTTCATCTTTTTGGCCATATAAATATCAGCAACTGCACCAAACTGCATATTTTTTGCTCAGTTTTTTTACTCCTTGAGCACTATATCACACTATATGAACCATAAAAACCTGTTGTATCGAATATGACACTCAGTAAAAAAAAAAAAAAAACATGCAAACTTTTTTATCTTTTAAGATTTTGTCTAAAACGTTTCCATTTGAAAGAAACTAGACTTTCTGGCTATTTCATAAATCAGGCTTCACGAGGTTAAGGTAAAACACAGACAAGAAGGAAGAGTGAAATGAGGACGGTGCTGTAGATTGTGAAACAGACACGAAAAAGGAACTTCCTGGTATGATAACAGTCTGTCAGTGACATGACACACAGCATCATCAGTATCTGCGCAGAGAGCAGAGTGATCTGATCCCACCAAACTGACACCTAGATGTTTTACAAAACAAATGTGTGATACTCCATTCAAACTGTAGTCTATGCTTTATCTATCAAATATTGTTTGTAAAACAAAACCTAAACACCAAAACAAACCAGTTAATCTTGCCAAAGCATAAAGTTCTTTGATAAAAGCTAAAAAAATAAAAAATAAAAAAAAAAGTACAGTGTGTCTAATATAAGAGGTTAATATCTTCTGTAGTGCGTGCGTGCGTCCTACCCGCGCTGTAATCTCGATCCAGAGGCGGGACATCCTCACTGAAGTCCACTGTAACATCTGAAATATCCACCAGCTCATCATCACTGCTTCCACTCTGATAATTATCGTCGCAAAACCCTCCGTTGTCCATCACCTTTGTCAGAGCGGAGAGAATAAAAGGTCATATAGTGGACTGAGGGGTTATTCTTCGTCCACTTATCGTCCTCAGCAGTCTGTTGCGAAATTACGACATCGTTCCAGCAGAGCAGATATGAGCAATCACTAATAAACATGATACAATTCCAGTAAATGGTGTGTTTATCAAGATTTTAATGACTATACTGGTCACGCTGAACGTTATTAATAAACCAAAATGAAGCGGTTCATACGAGTCTACAGTTCAGGAATCGGGCTACGCTGGTCGCGCTGTGTGTTTCTGATTCACTAAAAAGAATCGGCTCATACGAGTCATTCGTTCAAGAATCGGACTACGCTAGTCGCGCTGTATGTTTTGATGCCCTAAAAACCGGCAGATGAATCATTTGTTCGTGAATCGCTCTACACTGCAGAGCCAATGGCGGTGTAAGTATTAGTAGCCTATAAATCGAGTAAGTAGTGCAGGAAATTCATAAGAACCGGTTTCCAACCTACCGCTTTGCAACTGTGGGGCATCGGTCACCCACCTTTCGACTAGGTTTCTGAAATTATGTTAATAAAACTCACTCAGGTTTCAAACTCCACCACTTCCTTTATCTTGCTCCGCTAACATTTTACAAACCAACTAATATAATATTACACAAACAATTTCCAAAAAACACAACATCGTCGTATGAAGGCTTCCGAGTAAGTTACGTTAGTTAATACTGATTTTATTGACCACTTTTAAAGTCATCAGATAGTTTGTCAATTATTGCAGAGTTAGAACAATAAAGTGACCTAGTTATTGATGTCCTCTATTTGAGTATTTGAAGTAGCTGATAACACTTTACCCTTTGGATGTTTTAGTTACCACATCTAAACAACACAACTGTCATTTATCTAGCTATCTGTCACGCGACTCTTCAATCGATGCTAATTCGTTCTTCAGAATGATTCGATCAGTCCAATTGACTCTGAATTGGCTGGACCTGAGCAAAAAAGTTTGATACATACCACTGTGGTTCTTCAGGTAGTGGTCGCTATTAGTACTGTACTTTACGGAGGCGCCAAGTCTTGTGATCTGGATTTTAAAGTCCTTCGATGAAGCAATGCCGACCTAATCTTTCACAGCTGTCTGCCAGTTCCGTCAACTGGTGCGTCACACTTCATCCGGCAAAAGCATCTCACAGCCTCTCCAGCCCGGATGCCTTCAGTCCGACCGTACAGACCTTTAGCATGTGATAAAGCTGAAAGAGGAAGGTGTCCGTGTACCGATGCATCGTTGGGCAAGAGGGGTTTAATTCAATAACTGTTCCCTTCCTCAAAAACGTGAACGGCTGAACTTGACGTGTTTGGAGGTCAATAGCGCCATCCAACGTATTGGGGAGTTACTGAAATTAATTTCATTTTTCTCCAGCAGCACTTATATTGTGAAAGTAGTGTGTGACAACAAAGTCCTTCAGATAAACAATTTTAAGCATTTTTTCTAATTATTGTATACTAATTAAACGTTTAGTTGTTGATCTCATATTAATTGAAAGACTATGTGGAAAATCTTAGTATTAAAATAATTTCAGAACTAATGTAGAAAAGATCAAATGTGATTACAATGCTAACTGGTTACACAGTACATGTTAAGCTTTCAGTTGTTGACTAGGGGGGAAATCTTGGTATAAAAAATAAATAATTTCATAACTGTATAAATTTGAAAAAATGTGATTAAAATGCTAACTGGTTACAGTACATATATCCATTACATTTAGCATATTTCAAATATATAGAAGTATATATAATTATTTTATTCAGCAAGGATGCAATAAATAAAATAAAAAAGTAGGAGTAAAGATTTTAACATTGTTAAAATCTGTTCTGAACATTCTATTCAACAAAGAATTCTAAACAAAATCATGTTTTCTATTTTGATAATAATAAATGTTTCTTGAGCACCAAATAAGCATATTATTAGAATGATTTCTAACGGAGGAATGAAGAATCTTCTTTCAAAAAAAATTTTTTTTTTTAAATCAAAACTTTTGAAAGATAGTATTGTCACATGTAAGACCAACATAATACTTGCAAAAAGCAGAAACAGCATCACTCTTAATATCTTTATTTCATTTTGTCACTCTTCAAGGGCATCAGTAGGACTGTTTGGTGTGTGTTGTTACCCACAATACGGGCAGAACATTCAGAGAGAACAAAATACTCGACAAGATCACTGGAGGGGACGGTGGCGGCTGGAGCTGCTAACTAAATAAGTTGCAGGTTAGGTTGCAAGTCCATGTAGGACATAAATAAACCACCATCCATTATCACTAAACCAGCAATTTATGCCTAGTTTAATTGCATATTTGCAATTCCAAAAGCACTGCACCATACATTCATTTCCTATTCTAAATATATAAGTCACAATATATCAGAGTAAATACATGTCAGGGTCTTGAACGCAGCCTGGTCAGTATAGAGAATCACACTTCAGTACTATATTAGTTTTGCTACCTCACTGGATTCAAGCAAAGTTTTCTGCAGGGCCCCATCATTCCTGCAGGTCTTATTTTATGTGGTGTGAAAACCAGTCCAGAGTTACAACAGTATATGTGGAAAGAATACAACACTTCATGAGGACAAAAGTGACAGATCATGCCTAATGTGCTAAAGTGAGGAGCTCTGCGGGTGAAAGAACAAGTCATGAGCATCAAGAGGCCAATGAAAGACAGGCAGAGATTTAGACCTAAACATACACAAACAACACTTGTATGGTTAAGGCAGGTCGTTTTAAGAAGTCAGAACATGTGACAGACAGGTATTTTATATTGTGCCACATTTTAACTCATTAAAGCCCAATCTGTTCACGTAATAACTGCTTGTCAAAACTAAAATAGAGTATAAGTGATTCAAAATTCAAACATTTTGCCACAACACACAAAAAAAGAAAAATTGGTGGTTTCTGAAATTGTTTCCTTTAACAGTCATCATCATGCTGTGATATGTGGCAAAATAAAGGTTTTTGCTATACTTTGCCCTCACAGTGTACTGTATGTTCGGTTCTCCAGGATGAGGCTGTGCTGTTCTGCTGGCATGGATAGGCAAATATTTAATATCTTTTCATAATATTTCACAGAAAAAACTAACATTCTTACACCAACACATACTGCATATTATTAACATGCCACAAAGCTAGATGCGCTGACAGCTCGTCGCTGGAGCAGGGTTGTGAGGTATTCTGGATAGAGAAACATCTCCTATGACATGTCAATGTTAAAATCACCTTTATACATCGTCACAATGGTAGATAAACTGAATGTGAGAACAGCTACAACAGATGGAAGATTTTGATGCTGTGGAACGACTTAGCGGGGGTCGTCTGGGGCTGCGATCTTCTCCAGACTAGGCTCCATGTCCCAGATCTCACGAGCGTACTGGGCGATGGTGCGGTCGCTGGAGAATTTGCCACAACCAGCAATGTTGTGGATGACCATCTTGGTCCATTCTTTAGTATTCTGTTTGAGAACGAGGAAAAGGAACATGTTTCGAGTCAGTCCCTGCACTGGTTTTCTGTTGTGTGTTTAAGCTCTTTAAAGCATTACATTAAATTAGAAGGGAATTATAGGACATGTTTTTAAATAAACTTGTGTTCTGTCACTGATGGAACAGTCATCTTGAATTTAAAGATCCAAAACTTGTTTTTTGGACAACTTTAGAGGCAATTTTCTCAATATTTAGATTTTTTTGCACCCTCAGATTCCAGATTTTCAAATAGTTGTATCTCGGCCAAATCCTATCCTAACAAACTATACATCAACGGAAAGCTTATTAATTCAGCTTTCAAAAGGATGTCACATATAAACATTAAAATGTACAGTCTCCTTCAGGCAAAATGGACCAAAAATATTCATAACTCATTTTGTTCGCATACACTGCCGATCAAAAGTTTGGGGTTTGTATGTTTATATTATACGTATTTATATGTACGTTTATATTATGCTCACCTAGGCTGCATTTATTTAATCAAAAATACACTAAAACCGGTAATGTTACTACGTTATTACCATTTTAAATAACTATTTTCTGTTCGAATATATTTTACAAAGTAATTTGTCCGTGTGATGGCAAAGCTGAATTTTCAACAGCCTCCAGTCTTTCTTCAGCATCACATGATCCTTCAGAAACCATTCTAATATGCTGATTTGGGACATGTATTATTATCAACTATTAAAACAGTGCTTCTTAATATTTTTGTTGAATTTGTGATACATTTTTTCAGAATGTTTTTAATAGATTTCGTTCAAAAACAACACATATTACGGGCCCCAAACTTTTGTACAAATGTATTTTTGTCTAATAAAATGCGCTCTAGAATGAATATGTCCTTCCTATTAAGTTTGTAGCAAATAAAAGTTTAGCCAGGCTGTGATTAAACTAAAGGCTTTTGGCTAGAAACTCTTCCTGAAATACGCTGAAGCATTTAATGTTTTTTGTAATACATACCTTATATAGGGCGCTGACTTTCTCCTGACATTTAATGTAGTCTTCATAGTCAGCAAACACCTTGAACCTGCAATCACACCAGACAACCAAAATAATTAACAATTTATATGATCACTGTTAATCTGTGGCTATGTGAGAAATGGACAGAGATATCCAAAAAAGACATAGCACTTTTTTGGATTTTTTTTGTTTGTTTGTTTTTGCTTTTCTTACCTGTCATGGTGCATCAGCATCTTAACAATGTCTTTAAACTGATCAGGTTCTCCAGGGCTGAAGAATCCTCCAGAGATCTGATCCATGACTTGCTTTAGTTCTGGAATGCGGTTATAATACTCCATGGCATCATATCTGGAAATAAACCAACTTCAACTAAGTCATTTGCAACGTTTCCTTCAGTGCAATAAAACTGAGAACATTTGAATTTTATTACTCTGTTTAAATAGATGAATGTTCAAAAAAATAAATTTAAATAGATAAAGCTTTCATAAACATGAATAAATGAATGCGCTAAAACAAACAACTAAAATGCTATTCAGCAAATCGTTCATTGACGCTTGCTGTCACCCTTTCTTATCCAGAGCTTCCACATCCTTCACTCTCATGCCGAAGATAAAGAGGTTCTCTTCTCCCGCCTCTTCTGCCATCTCCACGTTAGCCCCATCCATGGTGCCGATGGTCAGAGCTCCATTCAGCATGAACTTCATGTTGCCTGTTCCAGAAGCTTCTGTTCCTGCTGTGGAGATCTGCTCGGACAGGTCAGCTGCAGGGATGACTGAAAAAGAGAGAAAGAAGCAGGCAGAGCGAGTTATGTGAATGAATTAATAAGACAGGAAGCTGATCCAATGATAAAATCTGTCAGTAAGTTTGCATTCTACCTTTCTCAGCCAGTGTAACCCTGTAGTTCTCAAGGAAGATGACTTTCAGACGATCTCCCACCACACTATCATTATTTACCACTTCTCCAATTGCTGTGATAAGTTTGATGATCATCTTAGCTGTGTGATACCCAGGAGCGGCCTTGAAGATGCATGATTTAGCCAATTAGCATTCAAACTTGAGTAGAATAGAACAGATTGGTCAGTGAAGTGATCAGTCTAACCTTTCCTCCAATCATAATGGTCCTAGGAGTCCAGGCCTTGTTGGGCTCCTTCTTGATGCCTGATCACACAAAATAGTAAAGGTAAAGTAGACTATCTTTGGAAAGGAATAATAGCTTGCTGTTTAGTGCATACTGCACAGTACACACTGTATACTGCCTACTGAAATAAAAGTAGTTTATGAAAAGTTATGAAATAAATGTTCCAAACTTTCCAGTAGCATACTAGATATGCATGACTTGGTTTCACCATTGAATGGGAAGCTTGTAAAGCTGGAAAAATATTTAGCTGTTTCAAGAGAAACCTGAATTATTATTGACTTACGGTTGTAGAGGGCGATGATGTGCAGACAGTTCAGCAGCTGTCTTTTGTATTCATGGATCCTCTTCACGTGAACATCAAACATGGAGTGTGGGTTAATCTTCACCTTGTATTGTTCTTCTAGATGCATCGCAAATTTCATCTTACTCTCCTGAAAAAGACAAAGCAATATATCATGTGGTGGCAATCATGTTTATGTAGAATATGCACAACTCACTTTGACTGTGGGATATTTTCTGTCTCACCTGTTTGACTTTGGCAATGTCTCGAATGAAAGCATCATCATCCACAAACTTTAAGAGGTTCTTCAGCTGGCTCAGGTCACGGATGTAGTCCTCTCCAATTCTCTAATGTTTAACACAAGACATTATGACTTCAATTTCACAGTGTTTCTCACACAAAGCTTTTGACTGGCTTG